TCCTGCAACTTGAGCAAGATTATTCCTACAACCTGTTTCAGGGACAACTCTGTCAGCATCTGAGAGGGCAAGGTCTCCTAGCAGAGCTTGGATGACTATTCCCTATATAAATTACACGGTGTCCTCACATTTAACATAATTTTTATTAAAGCTTATCCATTATTGCTGATTTCCTGGCCACAATACCTCACCACAAGTAAACAGCCTTCCTCATGGTCTTTGTACCTTCATCCACTGGCATAAAAAACACTCAGTATCTTTTTCATACAGGATCACAGAGTAGTCGAGGTTGGAAGGGACCTCTGGAGGTTGTCTGGTCCAACTCCCCTGCTCAAGCAGGGCACCCTAGAACCAGTTGCCTAAGACCATGTCTGGATGGCTTTTGAGTATCTCCAAGAATGAAGACTCCACAACCTCTCTGGGCAACTTGCTCCAGTGCTCAGTCACCGGAACAGTAAAACACAGTTTCCTGATGTTCAGATGTAGCCTCCCATGTTTCAGTTTGTGCCCATTGCCTCTGGTGTTGTCACTGGGCACCACTGAGAAGAGCCTGGCTCCGTCCTCTTTGCATCCTCCCTTCAGGTGTTTATATACCCTGACAAGATCCTCCTGAACCTTTTCTCCTCCAGACTAAACAGTTCCAGCTCTCTCAGCCTTGCCAAAGCTGAGTAGAGGGAAAAGACCACCTCCCTTGACCTTCTGACAACACTCATCTTAATGCAGCCCAGGATGCCATAAGCCTTGTTTGCTGCAAAGGCACATTGCTGGCTCAGAGCTAACTTGGTGTCCACCAGAACCCCCAAGTCCTTCTCTGCCAAGCTGCTTCCCAGCTGGGTGGCCCCCGGTATATATTGGTGCATGGGGTTGCTCCTCCCCAGGTGCAGGACTCTGCATTTCTTGTTGAACTTGAGGTTGACTTCACGAGATTTCAACTCTTAACAATTCTTTTTTCCATTTTCTTTCTAATTTTTTCCCATCAACCTCAGAAGTGAATTGCAAGTTTGGAAACATTTTGTGATAGGCAGATATACCTAAAGAATGCATATTCTAACACCCAAATCTATGTAATTTCATTCCTGAGAACTACCTTGAAAAGATCACATGTTTTCCTCTTGTGCTAGTGTTGGGGCTTTTTTCTTAATCACTGATTAGAAATGACATGGGAATATAGAAGACAATAAAAAAGCTATGCTTAACCAAATTTATTATACTTAAAACCAGTCAAAGTTGCTCAACAGCACATTCAGGAAGGGTTCGTGGGATATTGAGGATCCTGGAACATCAATAGGGGCGTAAACTAGGGAGGTCCTGCCTCCTGCCCTTCTCTCTGCTCTGGGCATTTGTCACAAAAAAAGCAAGGAGGAACTAATAGGGTAGAAAAGGCAAAAATAGGGTGCTGCTCCGGACTACTGTCTTGCGAAACAGAGCACTGAAGAGCTGTGGTAACTGCTATGTCCTCAGCTGAGTTTTAGTTATTGTCTACTGTATCCTGAGGCAGCAGCAAGCCCAGAGGTCTGTGGGGAATAGAGCAGATAATGCAGGCCACAGCTCTGTTTACAGACATGCTGCTTTTTTCATCTGTTATCTCTAAGGCTTTTCAATCAGAGAAATGGATAAATTCTATATCTAGGCAAAGCAGACAGTTACTTAGGGCAACATTGTGAGTTCCTAAGCTGTATCTCCCACTAAATAAAGATGTGTTATGTAAGGGAATGTGAAAAGAGAAAGCTTTTCTTTCGTTAAGGTTATCCAGTCAAGGACCTTTTCAACACAGAGGTTGATGATAAAGGAAGGGGGAAGCCACAAACAAAACCACACAGATAACACAACTTGAGAGAAAAGAGATAACAGCAAAAATGCAAAAGACCAAGTGTCTCCAGTCAATATTCAATGGGCCAATAAGACACTGCAGGCACAGCTTTGGAGAGGGCCAGCCTGGACTTCGTAGCTAATAAGAAGGGGGAAACAAGAGGGAACATCAGCATTTGAGATATTTGAACTGGGTCTGTAGGTTTCTCCAAAACTTGTTTGCTAGCAAGCATCAAGCTGGTCTAACCAGCAGGTAGTAGACCCACGGAGCAGATAAGAAGGCCCAAAATCTGGGCCTGAGCATTGGAGAAAGAGTGGCCACGCTCTCCGGGTAGTCAATGAATCCATGAATGTGCTTGTGAACTAGAGTGGGGGTGCGAGTGCTTTAACTCCTGAACTTCAACACTTACCAGCTGAAGAGGAGAAAGGGGAGGTGGCTGGCTGTAGTTACGCTTTGAGTCCTGGTAGCACTGAAGCTGGGTGCTGTTGAAGGCAGTGCCTTCATGTACTCTTTCCTTAAAAAAGGGAAATTAGAAGTCAGGAAACACCCTGCTAGGTGTCATGGATGAGACAGAGTAAATGGCAACCTCCAGTGGATCTGGATACTGGGGTTTATTTTAGAACTAATAACAGAGCTTTTACCTCCTTGCTTCTCTTTCTCCCAGGTGCATCACCTAGGCCTCAGCTTTGCTCCCTAGCAGTGAGATCACTGTTGGTCTGTGAAGATGGAGCAGAAAGCTGTGATGGTTCTGTGCTGTGCAGCTGCTCACAGGTACCAGTCTTTGGTGTAACAGGTCAAGGCCTCTGGGCATTCCCTGGCATTCATGTCCCTGCAGCTCTCCAATTCCCTTGATCTTCCCTTCCTTCCAGGATCTTTCCCCCAGCAGGTATCTTCACCTTCTTTCTGGGCCTTTCCTTCTTCCAAGACTCCCTCTTTTTTTCAGGAACCCTTCTTTTTGGCCCCAACTCCTCCTTTGAGTACACCAATCCTAGTTTTCTCAGTCAAAATATTTTACGTGCTGAAACACAGCATTTGCCTACTAATTCGTGGTTCTGCCTCATATCACTTTATTAATGTAATAACTTTTGTTTACTCCAGGGGTTATCAAAATTCACAAGCAGCCCATACTGGTTGCAGCTATCAAGTAGCAGGCTTCAGCCTGAGAGTTCTAAAGCGCCTCTGGGAAGTACAATCTCAAGAAATTATGCAAGATTCTCTATACAGAAGCTCTGTTTCAGCACAGAGGTGTAACTCTCCAAATGGATGATACCACACAGATTAATCAAACAATTCTTTATTTTGATACCTCAAGGCAGTAAAATACAAGAATACAAAAAGTATATATGAAAGTGGCAGTGATAATGCAACTTGATGCAATCCTACAGAAATCTAATCCATCAGAGTGGACTGCTTCATCAGTATACATATCTGTAAAGTATTGCACCATTTCAAAGAGGGAGCACTCGGGAAGAAAGTCTTTATACTCCAGGGACGAACGAGAGCCCCTAAAGTTGTATCTTAAACTTCAGAGTAAGGCACCAATTGGCAAGTATGATCCTTGTTCTGTTTATCACGTTGTGTGTAAGATAAGTGCAAGATGCGTATTAATGCTGCACCTTTGTCATCTGGAGGAAACACAGCCTTCATTTTCCTAGGCAGAACAATAAAAAAAGCATGTGCCTAATTTTCCAGCCTCCCTCCATATCCCTTTGTGCTTCCTGTTCATAATTCTATCCTGAAAAAATACTTCAAAAGCCACACTTACATAGAAAGAGTAAGCTAGGAACTATGCCAACTTACTGCTACAGAATGGAGAAGATCAAGACTCAAGTGAACAGACTGTAGTCCATGTGTAACCCCGTAATATGTAATACCAGTAATATGTAACACCCAGTCCGTATGTAATACCAGGATTTAGACTCTATCACAAAAGGAGAACAATGCCCATCTCCCACATGACATCAAATGGGAGTAACTGCAACTGGATACAAGCAAGAGACAAATTACAGCATGAACAGACCAGGTAGGAAATTTCCAAAAGTAGTATTGGATTATGCCACAGGATTTCTTACTGACCAGTTGAAATGACACTCTGCAAACAGTATTAGCTAAACAAACAGCTTTAAATGGTCATAGCTGAAGAAATAAAACTCACATAACAGGGTAATATTGTAAAACTCTTCCCTTTCATTTAAAAGGGAAGCAAACTGCAGTGATAAATAATCCAAGCAACATGCCTAGACTGTAAAGAGCTGCCTTGAATATTTTTGTTGATTAAACAAAAAACCCAAAAGATCCTTTTGTACAAGGTTGTAGAGTTTTCAGGGATTCACTTGTACAGTACAATTTACAGACTCCTGAGAAGTTGGTGGATTGTCTGAATGCTACGCCAGTTGTGACATACCGGTACTACAGCAAACAAATCCCTCAGAAGTAATCTGTGCAGTTGTTCACTCCTGGGACTAAGGGGAGATAATCTAGAATTTCTAGATTCAAAACTCTTTCTAGGGCAGTTTGTGGAAGTTTATTTGCCTGTATGAAAAATACTGGATCTCTGTTTTTTTGTTGATAACCTGGAATGTCTTGTCGTTCTCTTGATAACTTGGCTACACAAGGAATGTGTAAAACCAGACTTTTAAGTGATCAAGATGTATAGGAAAGTGTCAAATACTAAAATGAGTAACATTCCATTCTAGAGAAGGAAAGGATTCTCATTCACAAGGAGGCCTTTTCTAATGTGCACAGGAGCTGACTGTCCTACATGAAGAGCCAGGCAGAAAGCACTTAAAATTTTTAAAAGAAAAACGTAAGTAGCATCTTATGAATAATTTTCCTTTCAGAAAGGCTTAACTTTTAAAAAATTGTATGAACAGTCTGTTTCACTTTTCACATTTGCTTGCAAATGTCCTTATGTCTCCTTACAAAGGATGTTACCACTTATTCCCAGTTTCAGTGCTGATCCACTTTCCATCGACTTCTACACATATGGAATAAGTCAGGATATCATAATTTTAAACCCTGAACTGAATCAGATTACAAAGTGTTTCCAGATTATTACAGAAAAATACACCAAGAGTCGGACTGGCCAGATATAAATGAGCATTCCTTGCTTGTGCATCTCATTCCAGACCATAAGAATAAAAATGCAGACGTCCATTTGGCAGTATCTCTCTTCCAACAGAGCTGGCAGTTATTTTCCCGGCAGGTAGCCAGGAAACAGGTAAAGATCCCGACAGAGCGTGCTGCAATATTCCGACATTTCCTTGCAGCGGTGAAATTCTGTGCCTGGGGCATAACCTTCTCGTTGTTTGATTTGTCTGTTCACCTAGATGGGATATTAAAAAAAATTAAATTACTGGAAGCATTGACAGAAGAAAAATGTAATTGCTTTCTACACTCAGATTATTCTGTTTAACTTAATAAGTAGTACCCTATGTACTGCCTTTGTAAATTATAAGGAGGATGAAGAATTAAGGTGCAGTTCCACAGCAGCTCGAGTTGCCGTGGTCACGCTGCTGTCTTCACTCCCTCATTTTCTTCATCTTTGCCTTATGTGAGTGCAAGCAGTTGTGCAGCTATGTGGTGAGCTGGTTCAGGGAATCACAGAATCACAGAATATCAGGAGTTGGAAGGGACCTCGAAGGATCATCCAGTCCAACCCCCCTGCCAGAGCAGGATCACCTAGACCAGGTCACACAGGAACACATCCAGGCAGGTTTTGAATGTCTCCAGAGAAGGAGACTCCACAAGCTCTCTGGGCAGTCTGGTCCAGTGCTCTGTCACCCTCACAGTGAAAAGGTTTCTCCTCATGTTTATATGAAAAATGAATCCATCTGAAGACAAATGCTAATTCTATAGAAGAAAAGTAATTATTGACAAGCCAGATTAATTCTTCTTGTAAGTTCGCCATGCAACTGCACAAGCAAAGTGGGATGAGTCAAATAAACAGCATTTTTACTTAAACTGCTGTGGAACTGTATTTAAATAAGTAAACAAAAAAAAACATAGAAAGTAGAAATGATTTTGCTACAAAGAAGGCAAGAACAATTGCTTTAATAGTAGATTAATCCTAGCAATCTGAAGCACTGGAAGGCTCTTCAGAAACCAGGTAAGCGTGGGAGAGAAAAGACACTGCAGCTCACCTTCACTAACATGTCAGCCACATGGGTGTCTCGGGAGTTCTCTGCAAACACCGAGGTGAGAGCCTCAACATACCAGGATCCACGCTTAGTGTTTCGCATGGCTGCAGTGCCTGGGAAGAACGTGTGTATCATGAAGTTTCTGGGGAGCACAGACACAAAAAAAAACTTCCTTATGCCCTAAGAATTCGCATCCTCCCCAGTACCTTTCAGACAAGCATATCCACAGATCATATCAGAGCACGTAGGCAGACGCAGCTTGAGATTTTCTTCTTTGTTTGCATCACTTTCCTCACAGCCTGGGCAATCTGACCATTCTTTCCCATCTCTTTGATCCACTCCCCGGTCTGTTTCATCTGAAGAGGGGCAATAAACAAGGAGGGGAAAAACAAATTTAAAAAAGAAATTATCCTGAAGTACTGGATGCAGTTTTCCTATATTTCCTTAGTTTTGTGCCCTGGTCAGCAATGCCATGACTGCTGTCAAGCAGAAAGCTTTTGTATGAACTTTAAGCTTTTTCAGCTGTTTTTAAAACTTATCTGAAAGTGACGAGTTTCTCTTCTGCACAAACTGATGCAGATACCAACAAGTACTGAACCAGCTCAATCTAATGTGGCTTTTAGTCTGCGTCATGATTGATTTTTCTTCCCCCCCCCCTCCTTTCTTATGCAGATCAAAGGATAACCGGCAAAGCAAAGAAGTTTCTGAGAGTTCTTCACCAGGCATGGAAGGATTTGATGCCTAGCCCTAAAAGTTTTTATTTACCATTTTCACCCACCTTAGGAACATCCAAAAGAGTCTAGTCTAGTTTGCAATGCTAACTACCTACTTATTGCAAAACTCAAATGAGAGCTAATTTTAGTTGCTAAGGTCTACCTCCAAAAAAATCAAGAAAACATGGACCAAATATCTCATCTAGTTCAAAATTCTGACTATAATATAATATAATTTGTTTCAATCAAAAGCATAAATTGTACAATAATAAAATGGAAGTTAGTTTGACCTCAAACATGAGAGAACTCCAGTACACGGCAATTAGTTTAAAAACCTAGAGAACATTTAATATCCTTTCCAGGACTCAGCAGGATGTAGTAAGACAACTGTAGATATTTTCAATCTGTTGTTTACATGATGCAGAGTTTTCATTGTAACGTAGACTAGCTGCTTAGCGGCAATAATTCTGATAGTCCAGGTACGCTATTAATAAAAATCCAAAACCAACCCAAAAACCTACATTTTACAAGTTTTCTATAGAATTTTGCCCTCTTGTTCCTTCGTTGTATCAAAATTCTACTATTCTACTTACTTCCTAACTGCCTGGGTCAGATTCTAGTCTCAGGCAGCCTAAGTCTGCACTTCAGAGGCCTTCGTGTTAGGATGGTTCTCAGTATTTGTTGCCAGGTCATGCCTCAGAAATGCATTTGGATTCCTAACCTTTTTACAGCCATTGGCACTGGTGGCATCTCATAATTATGCACAGGAAGTGGTCAGCTGTTCTTTTCCTCCAAAATTAAAGCAGCAGCAGGAGGGGTGTGACTGACAGCCCAGATATAGCCCACAGTCAAGGCTCCACAGCTCAAAACTTGATGAAGGAACTTCATGGAAGGACTCATGATCTCTTTAAAGCAGCAATGCAAATCTTTCTATTTTGAACCACACTTTTTTCATGCTTTTATCACACTTCTCCAAAACCTTTTATTTATCTTCTTAAAAATTTAGAGTACTGCTCACAGTGTATGTTATTTCAGATAAGATTCAGTTAATTTTACAGTCAAGCTGTATTATTCAGTCATCATCCCATACTGTATAAAGTAAAAACCTTTTTGATTACAGCTTCAGAATTAAATGTATTGCTCACGCATTTGTCTTCCAACACTATTCTAGTCAACTTACCAACACAACTAAAAAGTGTAGAGCACTAACCCTATCAAGATACTCCTCTGTATCCTTAACCTCTAATATCACCAGTAACTGCCACCCAATTTGATCCAGTCTGTTTAAATTTTACTGAAGCTCTCAGATTGCTGTTTTCCCAACTGATTTAAATAACTGCCAACTACCTATTTTTCATTATTTATCACAGTTCTTCACTTTTCTGAACCAACTACTATATTAAACACAGATGTTAAGCAGCTCCAAATTCTCATTTTATGCCACAGTGAAATCTATTTGTCTTTTCCCATTGCTTTCTGTTGCCATTGTATTTTGCTCCATGACTGTAGGTGGACTACTTCAATTCTTTAGTAGACTCCTTAACAAAAGGTCTTTGGAAATTAAGTAGGCTGTACCAACTATTATTTATCTGCATTTTTAAGTGTGTCATTTAATACCTGGCTTATTACATAAACTTAGGGAAAAAAACCCTATGCATTTCTCATTTTGTTTCAACTGCTTCCAGCTAATATGCATGGCATAGAGAGATTGACTACAGTCTTTTAAATGCTGGTTTTTTAAAAAAAACAAATGTATTGGCTAGTCTAACCTTCAATGCTAACATGAAAAGGTACATGTTTTTGTTGACAGCTCAATTACTTTATAACTAGCTTTTCCTTCCAGCTATTAATCAAAGTTTAAAAGAGAGGTTAAAAAAGGCAGTTTTGTGCCTTTGTTTTTTTTAAAGAATGATTTTTCCCTTTCAGTTGCTCAAGTCTCAATCCTTTGCCTACTGCAGTATCCCCATTCTGCAGTATTATGCATAGCCGCCTTAACTGATACTTTTCTGGGAACTGGAAGGCCAAGTCTGATTTGTTGATGTGAACAGACCTCTTGTGGTAACACTACAGTCCAATAAACCTAAGTACCTAATTAGGTCAGCTGCAAATTCTGGCTTATTACACTTATTTCCACACTATTAGGAATCTGCATATTCACGTTTGTTCAAGAGTATCTGAAGGTTCAATAACATAAGAAAAGGAGTAGATAACAGGTGAATGAAACATCATCTTGGATAGAGGACAAACTATAAAGCTCTGCTAAAAATGAAAGAAGGGAGACTACTGCAAAGAACAAGAGAAAAGAAGGGGGAAAAGAATACATGCTTTCTAAGACAGAACTTCTCTTTGGAGTATCTGCAGTTTCACAGTGATCTCAAAAAGTCTAAACACTTTAAGGAAAAATTTGGTCATTAGCAGATGTGTTTAGTTATAAAAGAATGGAAAACAAATAGCAAATAGGAACAGAAAGAATGGAAAAAGAACAAATCCATGAGAATGAAAAAAAGAATTCTATAACTACAAGTACATGAAAAGGATATAAGAAAAGGTAATTTGGAGGTTGAAAGGAGGATAGGGTAAAATAAAATAAAATAAAATAAAATAAAATAAAATAAATACTTGGATCCAACTGTGATAGCTCAAGAGATGACAACACAAGAGACACAAAACATCCAGGACCAAGAGAGACAAGACCTCAGACAAGACTCCAGCGCTAGTGTACCACTCCATGCTGTGCTGCACTTCGATGCACCAAATGCCCCACTCCCCCTACTGCAGGCATAGCAAGAGGAAGCCTCAATATATGAGTGGGATATGATAGAACTTGATACCACTATGGTGCTCTGGGGTCTGCAAGTCAATGCACACACCTCATGCAGAGCAAAAGACACTTACAGAGCAACAGATGCAGTGGCAGCAGCAGGGCAGAGGGAGGTGAATATGGGTCCCACTTACACCTGGGAGAAGCAAAGAGGAGAGTTGACAGCAAGTTGAATGTGAGGGTGTGTATGTGTGTAAAATGAGCCTTAATGGCATGCCAAATACATGGCTTTTAGTATTTGGGCACTCACCTCCCCGGCAGGCCTGAATAAAAAACATTTTGGGCTTATTCTGGAGATCTGGACAGTTTGCATTATCAAAGAGCCGGAAAGCCTCCTGCAACTGAGAGAATAAAGAAGATAAATGCAGTCTCACCTTGCTTCCCTGTATTTTGGTTATTACCTCACCAATATTTTCCCCTTTATCTCCAAACTCATCACGTGGCAAACACATCCCTTCCTCTGCCTCTCCATCAGCTCCTACTAGTTTGAGTTCATGCACTCTACATCGTATTTGTACAGGATGAGAGAATGAAACGACTTCTCCTACCTGCCCTATTTCTATGCCATTTTTTATCCTATAGACCTCTCATAGACAGAACCCTGCCCTTTTCTTCCCACAAGCCTTTATATTTTTCTTTTTAAAAAATGTAAACCCTCAGTCTCCCATCACTTCACCTTCTCTCTCACTTTTTTTTCCCCCTCTTTCCATTGTTACTTTCCAAGATACAACCTACAACACCACATCAGGAGACAGGAGTATACCTCTAGTAGTTTGCCATCAGTGCCATAAACCCCACCCTCCACACCGTGGGAAAGTAAAGCTACAACACAAGAATCCACATCCCGATGATCTGGCAGCTTAGAGAATCTCTCCAGTGCATTCTGCATCTCCTGGAAGACAGAAAAAAAAATGCTTTGCAGACTTGCACAGGGAAAGTCAGTCAATATACAGGGAAAACCAAAAATGGTCCTCCTGTTATGAAATAAACTCTACGTACAGCAAATGTACACGGCAAAAGACGTGTTCCATTAAAAAAATGGCAAAATGTTCTTGCTCTTGTTATGTAATATTAAGTCCTAAGTATAAGATTATGAAGTAGCAATCACTTAGGACATCCACACTTCTATACTGGCCAACTGGTGGATGCAAGTATCTGAGTTGGTACATACAAATTTAACATAAGAGAAATCAACTGATATAGAGGTTTTTACATTGACACTTGAGTCTAGGTGGGATATTGGAGCAACTTAACAGATACATACACACTTCAGACATTCTAACACTAGTGGTCAAAACAATTAAAAGTGGAAAATTTTAGGAACTCTGACAATGCGGCAGGTGCAAAAGTCTTACTATAATTTTGCAAACGCTGTCTTCTTGAATAAGACAACTCTTTAACAGGTTCTGTACCACTTGGTTTCATAGGGATTTAAAAGCACTATGAACAGATGAGGCTGGATAGGGCAGCAGCTGCATTCCTAGGGAAGGAGAGTGGCTTGACTCAGTCAGTCATGGAAAATTACCACTTCTCCTAAGTAAAGCACAGCCACTTCTCTAGAAAAGCAAAGAGTGAAAGAGTGGAACTTAAATGCATCGATACTGGAACTGACAAATAGGATGGCAATTGACTCCATCAGTGAAAGGACACTAAAACACCACATACATTTGCAAAGATTAGGTGAAATATTTGCAAAGCTAGGTTATTCCAGTGTTCTGCTATCCTAAAAGTGAATCTAGAGTAAACTGGAGGGTTTATTCATATGTGGTTTTAGCACACATGCCAGGTCTAGTCTAGACATTCTTGCTCCTTGCATTACAAGGGGTCAGACTAGAGCAGTACCTCTTGTGGTCCTCTGCCTTCCAAGTTTCTTCATATTTGTCAGTATGCTAGCAGACATCATCTCATTTACCCTTACTTTCTATCCATAAGTGACAATGCACATCTTCCTTTTCAAGCTTTGTTACACCAAAGTGAATCTCTTAAGATGTTCATGTAACAGTTACAAACTCTCACCCATACTGGTTGCAAAGTATTGGTATCCCCCTTACCTGTGCAGTTTGATCATGAAAGACAGTCACTTGATACCCAAGATGTTTAAAAAGCATCTCCAGGGAAGAACAGTCCACATCTCCTCCTGCACGATACTCCAAGTCCTTCTTGCTATTGAAATGGACGTTGCTGAGAATAAGTGCTAAGCCTCGGGGCTCTGATATCAGTTTATATGCCTGAAAAGAAGATTAATTAAAACTGGTAAATTTAGACTAGACAAGGAAACAATAGAGTGTTAGAGTAGAACAGTAATGCCTACATACCAGCTTGACAAGATATGCAGAATTTCTTGATTGAGAAGGCGCAAAAACAGTAAAGCTCAAATTTTTGAAGTTTTTGGTTGTTTCAGGGTTTTGTTGTTGTTGTTTCAAATAAATAAAATAAATGTTTGTATTGCAAAGGGTCCCAAAGACAACTGTATTTGCAAGTCTCCACAACTTATGATCCTACAACATTATTCTTAAGATGTTGTACTACCTTGCCTTCTTTCTTGTTTTAAAAGAAACACAGCTTAAACACTTCCAACCATGAAATAAGTCTTGCTAACAGTTTTCCTTTTCCCTGCCCTCACCCCAGCATGGCCCCATATATTTCTGTCATCCTCAAAGGCCTTAGGACAACACTATGTAAAATTTAGCTAACGTTTCTCAATTGCTGCTGGGAGCAGAGATGGAAAATAGCACGTGAGTGCAACTGCAGCAGCAAAGGACTGCCAGTCACTGATCCTGAAAGTTATGCAGTTGGCAAAAAAAGTTAACAGAGAAAGAACTGATTTAAGAAGCGTGTCTTCAAATTAAGTTCCCTCTTTGCCCCTCCCACTCTAACAACAAATCAATAGTAAATCACTTACTATAACTCCTGTAAATTGGAAGTGAGATTTAATACTAAAGGACCATATCAAATAAGACATAAAATGAGTCAAGTCAAGCTCCCATTGATGCTGCCTAATTAGGTAGCTAAGACTGTGACAAGTTGAAATACAGTTCTAGTATCTCAGAGTCATTTGCAAGGTGTGTCACCACATTGATGGAGACAAGAATGCAGACAAATAAATGAGGCAGCTTACACAGAGCAACAGAAGAGAATGCATTTCAAGAAGCTCTTCATGAACAAAACACAGAGGAAGAGATCTGTATGGTTACAGAACTCAGAATTTCTTGATGCTTGTAAAATCAAACAACTGGTGACATCTGTGTTACACAAACAGCACAAAACTGACCTGTATCCCAATGAAGCACACACACATCAACTCAGTTTTCAATAGCATGCATTTAGTTGATATATCCAAATACCGCACATTTTTCACCTCTTAAGGAGACTTTCTCTGTCAACTACTCACCAAGTGCTGATGATCACGATAAAATTCAGGAGTGCAGTACTTCACCAGAGCAACTGGGGGACCATCTCCATTATCCAAGGAATGTTCCATTGGTTCTGTGCGAAACAAACAAGATCTAAAACACCAAAACAACCCAACCCCAAAACCTCTGCACCCAAATAAATAAATTTAAAAAGCCTTCAAAACCTAGACACTTGTTCTTTAACACCAGAGAGAGCTCCTGGCAACCAGCACACAGTTAAAGCTGTGTTTAGGGAACACAACCACAGGCATTACAAGAGGCAACATAAAAACTAGCAAGGATATTAATTCCAACAATTCCCTGATCTAAGCCACAAGCACTTGCTAAAGAAAAGTCGATTTGCTGCAATCGACAGAAGCTACAGAAATCCGTGTTGGGACCATATAACATATGTAAGACCTTGTACTTAAAACTTATTTGCTAAGAAGGAAGGTTAAGCTAAGGAATACTGCCCCAGATCAGTATCTTTCCACAGCTCTAGCTGAATTAAACTCTATTACGAATCTTAAAGAAGAAAATATTTTAAAAAAATCTAAAATTTTACTGACAGGTACCATTTAAGCAACAAAGCTTCCCGTAAGAATAAATGAAGCTGACTTGAAAGTGATTGGTTTCTCTCTTCCAATACACTATTTCACTTTCATTTTCTAGCTTAATTCTGTCTTCTGCATCTGATCATAATGGTCATTCACTGTCAAGTTTGTATTCCTGGGATGTGCAAAGTGCTAGCAAGCTTATTTCTAGAACTGAGTTAAGAGAGTATTCTGAAATTAGAAGCAATCAACCAGAAAGCCAATCAAGTATTTAGGGTGTCATGTGTGACTCACCAATCCAGCGTGGTCTCTTTGAATTGCATGACTCACTGGCAGGGAATGGAAGACTTGATTCATAACAGCGTTCAATCTACAAGACATCCAATAAATCCATTAAAGAGAGACACATATTACAACTATTTGTTTTCCTTACAGTACAAGTCTGTACGTATCATGGAACAAAGATACATGTATTTACATACACATATATATATGACCTAAAAAATAACATTATAGTTCACATCCAAATGAAACATCATGACAAGATAGTAGCAGCATTATCTGTCAACGGAAAATTCCTTCCCGTCTTTGCTCATCTCTACTTCTACCCAAATCCCCAGTTCAGAAACCTCACACTGAGGTCATCATATCCCCCTTGGTTTTGCCAAAACTGATTTGTCTAGTGATTCCTATCTTTTTGCTTGCTTTCAAGATTTCATTGTTTGTATAGTAATGCACTATTTAAAACAAAAAAAATAGAAAGTTTAGTCTAATAAATCCTACATTTTAATAAGGGAGCATATCTGCTCAAAAATATCTAGCCTGTCTTCCTTCCTGCATATAAAATATGTTTCCATCCTTGTCAACAAATTGAGAAAATGGAATCTTTACTAAATTCTTCCTTTAGTTCAATGCAAACAACTGCAGATAATGACAAGGTGAAAATAAAAATAACAAAACAAATGAAGTTCCTCTCTCCTCAACAGACAAGACTAGCTTCAGTAGCTTTACTCAGAGAATCACTGAACACTAAACTAAAAGATTTCAGAGAAAATATTTTCTTCGCAGCTTTAGGGATCTTGATTACACATCAGTTAAGAACATGCTCGATGTAAGAATATCCAAGAACCTTGTGGAGGTCAGCCAAGAGAAGTGCAAAGTCCTGCACCTCGAGAGGGGAGAAGAAACCCCATGCACCAACATATGCTGGGGGTCACCAGCTGGAAAGCTGCTTGGCAGAAAATGTCCTGGGGGACACCTGGTGGACACCAAGTGGAACATAAGCCAGCAACGTGCCCTTCCCGCAAAGACGACAAATGGTATCCTGGGCTGAATTAGGAGAAATATTGCCAGCAAATCAGCTCAAGGGAGAAGATCCTTCCCCCTGAGTATAGCTCTGGTGAGGTTACATCTGGAATCCTGTGTCCAGTTCTAGGCTCCTCTGTATGGACAAACTGGAGAGAGCCAAGGGCCACAGAAATGATGAAGGGACTGGAGCACCTTTCCTTTGAGCAAAGGTTGAGGGAGCTGGGGCTGCTCAGCCCGGAGAAGAGAAAGCTCAAAGCAATCTTACCAAGGTGTATAAACACCTGAAGGGATGGTGTAAAGAGGATGGAGCCAGGCTCTTTTCAGTGGTGCCCAGTGACAGGCCCAGAGGCAATGGGCACAAACTGGAACACAGGAGGTTTCCTGTGAACACTGTTTTACTGTAAGGGTGACCAAGCACTGGAGGAGGGTGCCCAGAGAGGCTGCAGAGTCTCCTGGGGATACTCAAAAGCTGTCTGGACATGGCCCTGGGTAACCTGCTCAAGGTGAACCTGCTTGAGCAGGGGGTTGGACCAGATGGACCTTCAGAAGTCCCTTCCAACCTCTGCCATCCTGTGATTCTGTCTGAAAATTCTTCCCAAATTCCTTCCCCTCTGCTTTTCCTAAGGCTATTACAAGTTTCAATTTGCAACAAAACCCCATCCTGTCCTTTGTAAACAATTTTTTTTCCAACTTGAAAGAGATCATTTTGTGCCCAAAGCCAATCTCAAATGTAATCGACCCATTTCATTTTTATAAAGTTGTTTTACCCTTGCAATCCCATGGCTCAGGTTGGATGTTGTCTTCAAGATCATTGCCTCCAGATGCTGCTGTTTGGTCTCTCGCAGAGCTTCACAGAAGGCTGAGAAGGCATCAGGGCCTCTCTTGGGCAGCAAATTGAGGAATTCCACATTTTGGCTGAAGCTCCCAGACTTGGCCTAGATCCATAGAAAAAAACAAAATCCACACCCCAACGCAATCAATTTTCAGTGAATCTTCAGAACAACTAACTTCTTCTACTCGATGTAAATGTTTCATCACTATGCTTAGCTGTGCTAGATCCATTTTTATAGCTTTTCCTAGTTGATTCCACTCCCATTCCTCTGATCCTGTTAGCTTAAGGGGGAGAGTATATGGCAGTGCAGGAAGCCAGTAGTCCATACATTACCACACACAGTAATACTCTCTCTTCTCTCTAAACTTTTACTTCCAGTTACTGTTGGAATCGCATCTATTTCCCCTCATTGAATAGACAAAGTGCAGAACCTGTTTCCACTACTTCCCAATGGTTCATGGTCTCATGCAGCAATACACAAATCCCTTAGAAAGCACTACGTAAATATTTATTTGATGTAGCCAATTCCAAAAAGATACTACATACATACAGACTGTAACATATAGATCAATGAAGCAATATATAATAGTATATGAGAAAATGGAACAATCAAAAATGAAATTTATTTATCTGTAAAATATTCCCAGGAAGTTCTAGTTGTTAGAATATTAACAAGACGTTTGCCAACAAACTGTATAATTTATACAGTTACAGCCTTCTCTCCGAGATGTAAACCACACCAAAACATTGTGTAGTAAAATACCAGGTATTGAAAAGCAATTCATCAGTTCCACGGAATTCATCCTATATTTTCTGAATTACCACATAGATCCAAGATCTCTTCTTTTGTTGGACAGTAAGAGATGGTTGGTGAGTTACACAGAATCAAGACTAACACTACATTTGCAACCACAGCAAAAGCAGACAAAAGCCTTGAATCACATGTGTAAATCCTCTGCTTTCTTTCATAATACTTATCAAGCTTGGTGTTAAATGTAACTTGGCTTTTGTCCTGTCACACTGTTTGAAAGGATATTGCAGTCTTGTTGTTCCAGTGCTTATGAACCTATTCTGAAATTCCAGAGCTACGTTCATTCATGACTAACAGCATTAAGTTTTCTATCAACAATGTCCCTTGACTTCAGTGTTCTCCTGTTCTTTCCCTTATTTATCACACTTCTTTCTATAAATTGGTCTCCATTTGCTACAGTAAACAAGCCACTTCCTTTCAGCCTCCTCACAAACGGCCTCTTCCCCTTGGCAATGCAAGTACCCTTTCCTATTCCCACAGGAACTTCAGCTTTCAGAACACTTCTGACTAGAGGTGCACAGGTCTCTCACCCGTGTCTTTCCAGAAGTATGAAAATACTTGCCCACTTCTCCTGGTAACACTTCTCCATTAGTCCATAGAAGATAACCAGTCACATATATATGTATCTTGCCGTAAGCACACTGAATTTTATTTTACCTAATAAAGTAAATTGACAGCTAGTATTTTAAAGTACCCACTGTTTTTTCCTTTCTAGTAGGCCTGCAGCTGTTTATGACAAGCTTAGGATCTTTAACCTTCTTCACTTTATATGTCTTCTTAAGGTCTATGACTTGAAGTCATAGATCACAATTAAGAACACACGTGACATCAAGAATTGGATCTTAAGTTTTATTGAAAAGTTAAGAAATTTCCATAATGTTCATATTCTGTACTTTGCATGTACAGTAGTCAGCTTTTCCCAGACTTCTTCCTTAAATACCCAAAGTGCTGTATACCTCCTCATGCAACTTCCACATCGAGACCACATTTAGATTATATTAAATAATGTTCAGCAAACATTCAAGAGTAAAACTTTCATAATACAAACTTCTTTGATTTTATTTTCTAATATATCCTAATTTATTTTTGTACCCTCACAGATGAGTTTGATAATCTGCATAACAGGAACTGGTTGTTCTGAATGCCTGTCAAAATCCCATAGTATTAAGTCGTCTTATTGAGCCTGAATATGCATGCAGAACCTGTGGAGAAAGCATATACACTTAAACATCCTAATCAAACTTCTGTCACTTTGTCAAAGCCAGTGATACCTTCACTACTGTCTAGGTATAAACACAGAGCATTTAAATGTCTCTATCTACACGATGTGATGGTCTTTAATCACAGTACAGAGTATTCAACTTGTTTAAAAAACAAGAGAAAGCTCTTGCTATCCTATCTGCAATTTTGAAGGTCCATCCCAGAGCTCTGGAAGAACATCTGACGCTCTGACAAGAAGGCATTAATGAAGTGGATCTTGGACTTCATCTTAGAAACAGCTGTTCCCACTGTTCCACTTTATTTCCACTACCATTTTTGCTCTGTGTTTGAAATTCCTCTCTTCTGGGCCTTCATCTAAATAATTATATTTAAATTATCTTCACTACACAGTGAACAACTTCTTTTTCTTTAGTCTTTTTTAAAAGTGTATATAATTGAAAAAAACTCATATTTTTTAGTATCTTTCTGAATGACCCAATTTAAACTTATTCCTGTCAGTTCCTCCTCTCTGCCCTGACTTTGGACATTAAAGGAAGCTGCCCCTATTTATTAATTCTTCTCCAGTGCACACCTACAGACTCGCTACTTACTCTTCATACTCCTTGTGAGCTCTTCATCCAGCTCAACCACCTTTGTCTTCAGTGGCTCTTCTTGCAATGCCCTCCCCTCTCACCTTTTTCTTACTTGTGGTAAAGTTTCAGTACTGGTTTAGAACCGCACACTTGAAGAAATTTCATCCTTCCTTCATCTCCCTAAGCTCCTTTGTTTATTTCACTTTCCTTGGACTACAGAAGTTTATTTAAGTGAAGCTCCCTATTTCCAGAACCAATTTGTTTATTCTTCTGTTTAGTTTAAATCAAAGCAACAGGACCAATTGCCCTGCTCAGTGATAACTAACACGCCCCTGTGTTATCAATGCTGTTTTATATAAATTCAAAATACGGCCCAATAGAAGCTAACATGAAGAAATAACTCTAGACCAGCCAAAACCAGTACAACCAGTTCTTGATTCATCCTCTGACTTTCACTGTCTTCTTGTATCTTTGTCCTCTTTCACTAAGGATTTGAACTATTTCAAGTAAGACTGCCTTCATCTCCCACTACTTAGCACAGGTATCCCTGACAGGTCCAATGAGGAATTTCACATAATCAGCCTGAATTCATCAGGAATTTATTTCTTCATTGCTGTCCAAAAACTTAAGTCTCAGGTTCATAACCTTTTGCACTGGTGCCCAGCAAATAGCTCATAATTCTATTTTTCAGCATGTGTTCTTGTGACAGGACCATTAACCTTTCTAAGGGACTAAAATGTCCCTCAGTTGTTTACTTGAGTCCTGAGACACACTTGACGTGCACCTTCAGTCATTTTCTCTCCAGTCTGCTTTTTCTTTGAAGACCTGTACCTCCATCCTGCACAACCTTCAGTGCATTACCATAACTCTGGGAGCAATCCCAAGCTATTTCCAATGACTTCTCTTCATAGCACCCACTTATCCATAGCAGGATAAGTAACAAAAGCCCATGAACAGCATTTGTCATCTGATAGCAAGTGCCTTGGATCATGTAAGGTTCTTCATGCAATTTATAAAAAACACACATGGCAGGCTGAGAGTTGGGGTTGTTCAGCCTGGAGAAGAGAAGGCTCCAGGCAGACCTTACTGTGGCTTTCCAGTACCAGAAGAGCTTCTACAGGAAAGCTGGGGAGGGACTTTTTACAAGGGCATGTAGTGATACGATGTGGGGGAATAGCTTTAAACTGGAAGTGGGTAGACTTCGATTAGATATTAGGAAGACATTCTTGACTGTGAGGGTGGTGAGACACTGGCACAGGTTGCCCAGGGAAGTTGTGGATGTCCCCTCCCTGGAAGTGTTCAAGGCCTGGGGGGACAGGGCGTTGGGCAACCTGGTCTGGTGGGAGGTGTCCCTGCCCATGGCAGGGGATTGGACTGGATGAGCTTTAAGGTCCCTTCCAACCCAAACCATTCAATGATTATATGTACAAATTCTTTAAGTGAAAGGTGACACAACAAGCTGGTTTATAATACATTAATTTGCTTACTTTCACAGTATTCTTTTGGCAATAGGTATTACTCCAACTTTTACAAATAGGAAAAATAAAACCAGATAAAAAATGACAACAAAGGCCTGGAAGATACCACCTGACTCATGAAGCACAGTCTGCAGTAACTACATACCAGCACACAAACCAAAGATTTAGTAAATCTCAGACAAAATCCATATTGCCAGAAGCAGCTTGCAGTTCTGCATGTTGCAAGCGAGCCACATACTGCTTTGCCTGTTCTCCAAACTCAGTCAGATTAAAACACGGGTGGGTAAGGCACAGGTAAGTTTTATCGTGCTGCCACTGCCGAGAACGACACCGAGATAAACTATAAATAGAGTTGCGCTATAAGCGGCCGAGTATAGCCTGCATACCTGGATCATTTCCACCATCTCCGTGGTGACGATGTCTTTCTCGATCATATGCTCCAGCAGCTCTTTTAAAACCAGCTGCTTTGCCAGCGCCACCCGGTTCTTCTTAAGCGCTTCCTGGTGATACCGCTGCATGCCACACGCAACCAGCATCCCGGCACGGAAAGCGGAGACCAAAGCCCGACTCAGCAGCCAAGGCCAGCCTGACACCTCCCGGCTTTCCGCTCAGGAGGAAGCGGACC